AAACTATTCAAAATAAACGCGTTTTTATCAAAACTACTTTTTTTTATTGTCAAAAGTATTTTTTCATTGTTAAAACAAAGGTATCAAAAAATTGCAAAAACTTTGCTCTTTTCTTTAAACGCTTCTAAAAAATAAAATTTTCTATTTTTAAGGAAAAATTTAGATCCTTTGTAGAAAAGAGACACATAGAAGATTCCCGATTAAAATTGAGGCCTCCAAAATTTTACACAAACAGCTAAATCTGATAAACCATTACAAAAAAACTATTTATCCCCATCAAAATTTTCAGTCTGCTATTTAAAGTTTTCAGTACAATAAAAATTGCTGGTTAAGCGACAAAAATAACAATAATAACAATCATACCTTACAGGAAGTAGTGAAAAAGGTATGAATAAGTGTAACGTTTTATTTGCTACCTTGCACTTGAGAGGAAGCTTGATTTCCTACGGCTCACAATAATTAAACATTAACCAGTGAAAAGGTGTGAGAGTCATAGCTCATATCTTTTGCCAGAGAGTAATGAACGTTTAAATATGTAATTTACTGTAATAAAATGTACTTGACTGTATAAAATAAATTTTTTATAATATATTTAATATAATTTATATTTATATTTAAATATAAATTACCGTGTCAATAGACTTTTTAGCGATTAGCGGGTTTAAAATTTATTTAAATGGGTGGTTAAATAATTTTATTAGCTTGTAGGTAGATAATGATAGTTTAACATACATATTATACTTGGGCATTCACAATATAATATTATTGTAAGTGCATATATGTGTATGAGAGTAGTGCGTGCGTGCACTTTTTAAGACTCTCTGTTTCGTTTTACGTTAGGAGTCTGCGTTGCAGGTTGCACGACAAGTCTAGTCTACTGGTTTCGCTCTGAAAATTACTATACTTATATATTACTTACACAAGTTTATATGTATATATATATGTATAATAGCTCGTATTCTGTAGGTTAAAAATTTTTTAGCGATACCAAAGGGCTGCGAATGAGAATAACACATTCACATGCTCTATACTAATTGCGGTTGTTTGTCAAGAGTATTATTATTTTTAAAGTGGGCAGAGTTGAATTATCATGATCATGAGTAGTTTATTTTATTTAACTTTATTTATTATTGCTATATCTTTGTATTATATTAGTAATATACCAGCATTTGTAAACCGAACAATAACTTCGTTAACTTTCATATTTATTTCGATTATTGCGTGTTACTTATTCATTTTTTACAAGGATCTTTTATATTTTATGAGCATGAAGTACTATCGGTTATTTATTTTTTACCGTGTTTATTTATTTGATAATTAAGCTATTTGTTTGTTTTCATAAGTCCATTTATATCGATATTTTATTGAGCTAACAAAACATTTAAGTTTGTATCATTTTTTATTTAAACTCTATTATAATTAAATGTTTATTCAAACTGACAATAATTATTAATGCATGTTAAAGTATTTAAACTATCTTTGACACGCGAAAAAATCAGTTTTTTTGCCGATCAATTTTAATTTGCATAAAGTATTAAAATAGTCGTAAAATCTTAGATAATTGCAGAAAAATTTTCTTTTTAAAAATTGGAATTCTCTTTTATACTTCGGTATTTGAATATTTAAAAATTTTTTTACTCATCATCTGGAAAAAATTTGTTACCAGTCAATTTTCAATAATAAATGACAAAATAGTTGAGAAAATCCAAAAATATGAATATTTTTCTCATTTTTATAACACTAAATAAATTTTATAAATTAATTATAAAATTTTTTTCTAACTGTGAATTACTAGTCCTATTTCCAAAATTATAAACCCATTATTTTTTCTCTTAAATCTTGTACTACCCGTTCTAGCCCTGGAAGTGATCTAAAGTCACAAAACTTACACCCGGAAGACTCTAGTTCGAGCCCCAGCAATGTTAAAAAAATATTACCATCGAAATAATTGAATAAACTTACTAGATAAGTAAGTATGATGAATAAAAAAAAGGATTGTATTAAAAATTTATAAAATAATTAATCAAAAAATTTTTCAAACCCAAGATGAAATATTAGATTGTGGCATAAATCAAACATTAGATTAATCTCGAGAAAAAAAAATTAGTCTCAATAAGAATCAATCATACGTGATGATATGGAACATCTATCTGTGGTATGTATACATCTACATAAGACTCGGGTTCCCGTCAGCAAAATCACCGACCGAAACACGATTCTATCTCATCTAGCAGCGGTATAGACTCCAGTCACGGCGTTCATCATAATGCAATTAGTGTATCCGTGCGTTGGTGTATCCGGAAAGGGAAACTAAGCCACGATACGAGTACTGGAGCGTTGCTGTTGCTTTTGCGGAGTACATTACACATAGCTCTCGTACATATAATCCAATATATTCTATTATATGTACATCTACTACCAGCACATATTAAGTATATCGATACGACTACTATACCAAGCTGTGGAATTGCTAAGGACGCAGTGGCCCTACAGGTATATCATTTGCATTAGTTCATAGACCAGCAACTCATGATGTCTTAGCTTTGGTACTTAACTCTCTTACTGCGATCTGCAACGCATGGGTGGATGCTGGGTACCTATACGGAGCAAAAGCTCTTGCAATCGCTGTGTCTATATAATACATACATACATATGGTTATTATTTTATATTATACTGGTCCATGTAATAGTCTTACATAAAACTTATGGTATTATATATTGTATGTTATTATATTATTATTATTATTAATAAAGTTGCTACCGAAACGAAACCGCTTATCATTTATCAATGACACTGAATAAATTATTTCAATAGATAATTTTTCTTTTCAATTTTTTGATGAAAAAGATTTATCTCAGATAAATTTTTTAATTTTTCAAAATTAAAAAAAAATTAACTCTCACAGTTAAATATTTTACAAGTTTGTTTGCTGAGTAAGTAATTAATTATTTCAACACTTTAATTAAATTGTAAAGATACAATATCAACTATTAATAATTATTAAGAAATGTTTAAAAGTATTGAAATTTAACGGAATGACCTAAGACTTGAACGACTGACATAAAAAAAAAAAATATATACAGCGGCGTGAATATAAATATAAAACAGCGAAGCTCATTCTACATATTTCTGTTCGATACAGGATAATTGATGATCGATACTCTGTACATATAAAAGTCGTATGAAGAGTAGTCTCGTACAGGTTTTAAAATATATTCCATGTTAAAAAGAAATTAAAAGTCTCAAGTTGAGAAAATAAAATTATTGGTCATCTGTACATTTAATTAGATGTATCTCCTTATTATTATTATTTTTAAATAAATAAATATTCATTACTCATTATTAAATATTTATTACTTATTATTTATTATTATCGATTATTCCTAATCCTCAATGTTTTATTCTGTTCTCTATAAATATATGTATATGATATAACTTACATATACTGTAGTTATAAGTAATAACTTATAACACATGACTATATGCCTAGGTATAAGAGACTATGTGAACGGAAACGACACGCGCCGGACACCATACGCCGATAAGAGTTTGCCGGATAACATTGCGAACATGATATTTATGCGAGGGTCGATGGTTCATCGCGATGCTACAACTTTCAGCTGGACCATTGCGCACATGCAACCAATATATGTACACCGAATAAAAAATTAAACATTACATACAGTCGGAATAATATATAATAAACTACCAAGACCCTTTATATTGCATTCGACATGACAAAAAAAATAGATCATAGTAAAAATTGTAACAGCGTGTCTTTTAATTTGCAATAAATTATTCAAATTACTCATAATTGTTTAGTTACAGATATGTATTTTGTTAAAAATATAACTCGGATTTGCTGATTATTAATGTAGTTTGAACAGTTGGCGAAAACTTTAAAATCCAAGTCTAATTTATTAATGAATCACTTATTTTTACTGTTATCTATTTTTACCGTCAAGCAGCAACGAGTAATTTAAATCCATCTATACATTTGTGTACACCAATCGCAATAAACATCCTGCGCAAACGCTCAAGGTGATCTACCACAACAATTATTTTTCTTTGGTTTTTTTTTTTTTTATTTATACACGGATATAAATAAAAACATAAATTCCGAAACCTCAAAGATAAAATATGAATTGATATTATTTAAATGAAAATATTAAAATAAATAGACTTACCATGACTGATGAACAATTAATTCCAAGTTAACGATACCGGCATATTCAGTATCAGGCTTATGGCACCATACCAGTCATAACAATCACACTAAATCACTGATCACTTACACCTTAAACATTTGTAATTAATAATATATAACTTTTGATCAAGTAAACAATACTTTATGATTATAAATAAACACTCGCGTTAAGCACGATACCGATTCGCAGTTTAAGTAAAACGACTAAAAAAAAAAATATAAAAAATAACTGAGGAGTAAAATAATTGCGAAATAGCGAGTAAAGTAATTGTAACGTGTAAATCGTGTTTGAGCAGAGACCGGGATAAGGATACCGGTGATTTTAAAACCTGGCAGACAACGACTGAACTCGAGACCGGCAGGTAAGCAGTTGTTGCCCCTCTACTTGATACCACCTTTACTTGATGCTATAGAGCAACCATTCTCCATTCTCCTTTACGTTCTTCGGTCTTCAGTTCACTTTACTTCTGTTGTGTACTATATCTTTCTTTCTCCAGATCCATCGGCTAGCTGTATCCCTTTTTACGCACATCCACCGTTCACTCGCTCACGACCTGTTCGACCGACAATATTAACTTTTAAAAGGACAAACATCAACAGGTACTCTTCCGTAGGAGTCACACTGTATAATTTTTTAAATAAATAAGTAATAGTAATAATATTAATATTAATAGTAGTAGTAATAGTAGGAATAATAAAGGATATCTTACGGTGCAGGGTTAAATATATAAAATTGTTTAAACAACTCTTCAATATTTATTGTATATCTAAAAAATTAATTAATGATGACGATTAAACGGTATTCGAAATTACAGCTTCGTCTTCTTCATCAGAGTCCTCGGCGTTATTGGGCTTTACGTCCACTAGATACTGTTCAAAGTTTATTTTTAACGACTCCGTTGTTGGTGGACTCTTTAATGATGTTCTAAAAAATATACAATTATTTCAACTATTGTTAATTGGTAATTGTTTTATTTACCGGTTACCGACTTTATGTTTTTTATAACGAAGAAATATTCTAGGTATTTACTACAGATATTTAAAAAAAAAAACTATTTGACGTAAGCCCGCGGTACTTTTTGCTCTAGCGGCACACTTTTTAAAAACCAATCAAGATAATTCTATAGGAGTTTTTATAATTGTATAAAAAAAAAAAAAAACAAGGAAAGCAAGCCGATGTTTTTTTTTTTTTTCATCTTAAACAATGTGGCCGGAAGAAAATAGAAATTTCAAAAGTTATAAAGCGGATCTGATTTTCTTATTAAATTAATTTTACCTGAAGACAAAGTCACCCTCCCGCTTTGGCCTTACAGACTCGACGTCTTTGACCAGAGCGATGAAATTTTCTTCCAGTTGTTTGGTGTCCATACTCAACTATAGTGTCAAAAAATACAATCATATTCAATTGAATGATCGATGAATTAATGAAAAGTTTAGTTCAAAGACACTTACAGTTCCAATCGGGGCAGTAATAATACCGAGCTGAGGCTGTCTCTCATATGGATTTACAGTATAATTGATACCATGGAGAATTTTCTTGATCATATCAGCTAGATCGAGTCCCAAGGTACCTTACATATGAAATCGATGGTGTTAAGTTGTAAAATATTGTAATTGGGTGATGAATAATGTAAAGAAATTTACCATTACGAGGATTGGGGAACTTTCTTTTCAGTAAACCTCTCACGACAGTCAAGTCGACCATTATTTCCGGATGCGCGACTGCGGCAGTAAAATCATTCGCTGAAATTTCGCCGGTCTATAGCCAAAAAACAAATCAATCAATCTTTCAATATTAAAAATTCTTGAATAATCCATAAATATTTTTGAATCATTTGAGACATTTTTAGATGAATTTTTGTGAAAAAAAAATCTTTATTGCGTATTTATTTTTAAAAAATTCGTTTGAGTTAGGAAATTTTTTTTAAAATCCATGATTTAAATTCTTTCTCGATTGATTTCAATTAATAAAACTCGAAGTAGATCTATTTGTATTTTTATTATTATTGTCCTGTAAATTTTTTCAAAATCTTATACTCGCTCGTTAGCACTGCTTCTCCCAATTTGCTGGTAACGTGCGACGAATTAACGAATTTTATGGTGACATCTGGTGGCATTTTTACGAACTACGCACCAAAGTTAGCACCAGTTTGGCGGGAAATTTAAAAAAACTTTCGTACAAATTTAGTGTCAAAAATAAACGCTTAAACATATTTTTTTTTTTTCATTTATAATTACTTTAATTATTTATTAATTAAAAGTATGATGTAAATAATAAAAAAACGTCCACTTTATAAATTACTCTCATAAATTAGTGTATAATCATAATTTGTTATCAAATGTCAAATGTTTCCAATGTTTTTACGAAAATATATATGTTCAATTATTTAAATTAAAAGCTTTTAAATTTTTGTAACAAAAATTACTCAAATATTTAGTCAAAAAAAATGAAAATAAATAAAAAACAAACTAACCTGAATTTTGGTAATAATTTCTTTGCCACCAACAACCTCTGCCCCAGCATTCCGGGCCAAATTCTTGATCTCTTCTGTTTTAACAAAAGCAATCACATTTCTTTTTTCTCCATGATCAAAAATATGAGGCATGTAAACGCTTCTGGAGAACTTTTCCATTAACTTAGTAGGTCTCTCACTCTGAAAATTCATAAAAAGTTATAAAAATGATACTATAACTATTTCACTCTGAAGCGAATATAATCATGCAACTGATAATATAAAATTTTCAGCAATACCTGCATATTAATTTCTATGAATGCCTCAATAAATCCATTCGGAGCGTCATACCGTGATGGATGATGAGTGTCACGATGACACTCAACAGCTTCATTAAACGAATAGATTTTTCTTCTGTATATGCTTTCGAACCACACATCATCTATCGATTCTTTCTTCTTCGAATCTTCAGTATATATTAGATTAAAAGGTATAATCTCCCTGTAATTTAAAAATTTTTAAAACATGCCAATTGATAATCAATTAATCATATATCTACTTAAACTGAATCACTTTTGTACCCAGTGATGTTAAACTTTGAACAAAAAATAATGCTTACGCTTTCTTCACACGCTTGTTTTCAGGAATGAATACTTTTTTAACGACTTCTTTCTTGACTTTTTTCTTCCTAGCACGTTCTCTCGTTCCCTTACGAGCCGCATAATTTCTGACTTGTGTCAACGGACACAAAAGAGAGTAACTGGATGATATTTTCTGCTGCAAGACACCAGCAAGTGTTATCAACCTTCCTGTAATTATAATAATTTTTTATTGCTTAATTTAATTTAACGAACATTAAAAAACATCAGTCACTTAAAAAAAAAAAAAAAATATATTTTAACGAATGACAACAATGAATAATTTCTAGGTTACAAGTTTTGAATAAAAATTTCTAAATCTAATTAAAATAGTATAAAATTTTATGTCTGTAATAAAAGAATAATATTAATATTTTATTAAAATTATAATTAAAATCATGACATGTTTATTTGTCATATTTATCAAAATAATAAAAGTAATTAAAATAAAATACCTCCGGCACCCAACGCCATTTTGAATCCACTGAAAACTGAAAATGGAGTTTAAAAAATTTCAGTCGCAACTACATTACATGAAGTGTCACCCTTAGGATGTTTATTAGAAATATAATTCACATCGATGAGTCTTACGGAGGTCTACACAATGTGCGAAAATTGTCAATGAACTTGTACTGTGTTTGTTCATTGATTGTCAGTCAGTCAGCAGACAGTATTTAACAACTTGGTGCCTTGTTGATCTGTTTTAAATGTATAACGTTTAACAACTAGTTAAATATGTATTTATAATAATAATAATAATAATAATAAAATAAGCAGAGATAATAATTAATATGAAATTAATTTTTTAATCGTAAATGCACTTGTCGCGGGCAACTATCAGGCAATATGGCGGCCGATAAATTCACATCTCCAGTAATTATTAATTCCGATGGAGGTGCAATCAGCGATGCACAATCATCTTATCGGAATGTTGCTTAACTAAGGCTTATATGTGTCACCGTCAGTGGGGGATGTCGTGATTCTTTTAATTAATTTATTTGTGAGGAAAAAATTATTCCAGACAACATGTCAACGCGATCGCAACTTACTAAAGATTTGAACGGTAAGATATATATTTTATTATAAAATTATAATATTAATCCAATTTATTGGCTTGTTTATATATTGATCTGAGATTAAGTTTTTTAATTATTTAATTTTTACAGAATCGGTGAAAGCTTTACTGGGTAAACATGTCAAAATTTTGTTGAAAAATGTTGTTAAACTTGAAACAAAACCAGACAAGCAGGAAAACCGAGTTTTGGTAATTTTTAATTTTTTTTTCTTTATAAATTTAATAAATTTATTTAATTTACGTAATAATTATTTTATTTTAACAGGTATTTTCTCCTTGTCGACTCTTTTTATTGACTGCCAAAGTACCTACTAGGGTGAATAAATTAAAAAAATGGAATAATCTTGTAAACACTAATTTGACAAATAACATAATTATAATAAAAATTTATTTCAGATCGATTGCCATTTTCATTATTTAGAAATAACCTCAGTAGAGTCTCGAAGATCGAACCAACTATGTCTAACAGCGGGAGAAAGAACATACAACTTCACAACAACAGGCGTAGGTGGGACAGACACAACGGAGGTAGACGCGATGATCGAAGCGTTACACACTGCAATAAGAAATATATTTCCGACAGTCCCTCTAAACTACGTTATCAGAAAAATCGACGTGATACCGGCCAGTAGACTTCACAGTATTCGTGGAAGCGAGTTGGCCCGCAGCACGGAGGCAACGAGAACAACCGGGCCCTGCGGAGGTTTTTCGACCCAGTACGCCTGCATGTGTGATCTACATTGTGTCCAATACCGCGAAGAAGTGACATGGGACGTAGACACAATATACCTCTCGCACGACACCCGTGAACTAAATCTCCGTGACTTTGATCACCTCGAGCAGAAGGATTTGGTCCCGATAATATCCGCGTTGGAATACAACACATGGTTCACTAAATTACGAGTGTCCCATTTAAAATTGAGCCATGAGTGCCTCGAGCGTTTGCTTCACGTTGTTCGCCGATCTCTCTCACTCCAAGAAATCTACTTAGATAATCTAGGCCTCAAATGGGATTTTGCGCACAAACTATCCCTCGCACTTATTGCTAATAGTAACACTGTACTGCACACCATCGATTTATCGAATAACATGATCGAGGACAAGGGAGCTGCCAGTTTGTGTGCCATTGTAGCTAAACTCACCCAAGGTAGTAGTCACCTCGGCAGTCCAGGCATCGGAAAACTCCCTAAAGGCATGCAAAAATTGAATTTGTCCCATTGTGGATTAACAGGAAAAGGAATTGCACAAATAGCCCACGCGCTGAGTCTAAATCGAAGCATGCCTACAAGTTTACGATACTTAAATTTGTCTGAGAACACTTTAAAAGATGATATCAACAATCTTTGCAATTTTTTGGCTCAGCCCAATAGCCTAACGCACTTAGATCTCGCTGGTACGGATACAACTCTAGAATCTTTATTCGGTGCCCTTCTACGTGGCTGTGCTACTAATCTAGTCCATTTAAACGTGTCACGGAACTCATTTACAAGTAAAAAAACCAAAGAAATACCTCCTAGTTTTAAACAATTTTTTACCGCGACTTTGTCGCTAAAGTATTTAAATATTTCATACTGCAAGTTGCCTCTGGAGGCTCTGAAACACCTTTTGCTGGGCCTCGCCTGCAACGAGAGCACAGTGGGTCTCGAATTGGACATGAGTGGAAACAACTTAGGGTCTCTGGGTGCTCACGTTCTTGAATCTTGCATACACGGTGTCCGTTGCATAGCTTCGCTAGATATTTCTGACAGCAACATGGACGTTGATATGGCTCAAGTAATTACGGCGATTGGAAAAAACAAGTCAATAAAGCACCTCTACATGGGAAGAAACACCACAGGCATGAAAACCAAGCACATATCGGTGGTGATGGATGCGCTCGTACAGATGATTCAGGAAGACGATTGTGTTTTACAATCGCTTTATATTCCAGATTCACGATTAAAAAGCGATCTTTATAGTCTGATAAACGCACTGGGAAGCAACACGTGTCTTCATACTCTTGATATGAGTGGAAATCAGATAGGAGACCCTGGAGCTCGTCTTCTAGCCAAGGCACTCCAAATAAACAATCATCTGAAGACAATAATTTATGATAAAAATAATATTACTTTGCAAGGATACTCAGATATTGTTCACGCGTTGGAAAAAAATTACAGTGTGAGACACATGCCGTTTCCTATTTATGATCTGCAACCTTGTATGAAGATTTCTGCAGAGAAAGCCGAGCAATTGGCCAAGAAAATTCAGGACATGCTGCAGAGAAATGTTACACCGTGTAAGTACAGTCCGGGGCAAGCTTTTAGACTCCAACAAGGATTTTTACTCAGTTCAACGCAGCAGGTTGTCGACAGGTTAGTTTTTTCATTACATTTTTTTAAATTTATTATTGTAGAAATTTACACTTAAAATATTTTTTTTTGCTACTCACCAGATTGGTCGTCCAAACTCAGGATACGATAAAAACTTTAGCAGCAGAGAGTTGTGATGCGAATAATGATATTAATCACGCAACTGGATTGATCCAAGATGCAGATAATTCGAAGCAATTGCTACCGCGACTTCATGAAGTCTTACAACGGCGGGATGAGAACAATCCCGTAGAAGCAAAGCTCAAGGAAATAGCCGACAATTTGTATAAGAATGTCACCGATTATTTGGAAGACTCATTGGAAGCTATTTTAAAATGCGCGAACGATCATTGTCCAACAGTGATGTCTCAAACGGTGATTCGCGGTGATGAGAGCGAACCAATTTCTGTTGAAGATGATTTACGAAATGTCTGCAAGGGGAAGAATCAGATAAGCGGAGAATTTATCACCAGCGCAATTGTTGAACAGGCGGGTACTGATATTGTTAATAGAATAAACGAGCTGAACCTCTCGGTAGCTGCTCATATTTCCGACAGAATCACAGACGAAGTGATAGAGTCGCTGTCGAGGAGTTACAAGACTTTGATCGGAGACTCTCATGATAGAACGCGTTGCAGTACGCCGGATGTTTTGAGACCGAGTGTTAGTTCTACCAGCAGTGGTAGTGTCATCGGTATCGGAGGAACCATGAGCATTGGAATCAGTTCTGACAACAGCGGTTATGGACTCTCGAACAAAATTTCATCGGCAGTTGAGCATGCTGCTAAGATGACTAGAGACTCGCTCAAGGACTCAATGGTTCATGAGTACGCCTGTCCTTCAGATCTTTTTATCGGGAGTTCTATTAATTCTCAGCATACCACAGATGATCAGTCTCCTATGGTAATTTATTATTATTATTTTGTTTTTTTTTTTTTGGAATAAGTTAAATTAATTGGAATATTTTTATTCGTTATGCAAACAGAAGTTGGATTATTTAAATCTTGTAAGTAAATTTTATAACAACCATAACTTTATACATTTGTTAATCGTGGATGTTAAGTTATTTGCACTTTTATGTAATTGTATATTTTTATTTATTAATAGGATTAAAAATTTTTTTATATTATTAACAATGATTGACAATAATAATTTAATGTAATAGGCAACGCCCCATTTGTCAAACAAACGAAAAAATTTGCATGGAAGAAAATTACGACCAAAGTCAGTGGTTGATTCTGTAGAAGGACTTTCAGCTGATGACATACCGGATTTACTGCCTAGTTTACCAAAAGACAATACTGAAAGTGAGTTTATTTCTTCAACCAACTTATCATAATTATGGATAAATAATTAATTTATTATTTTTTAACCTAGCAATTTCAGAAAATGAGCACTCATTGACTGAGTCTTTGGATTCTATATCCGAGCTTCCTAATAACACTGGCCAGCAATTGCAACATCTGGTAAAATCTCGACCAAGACGAACTAAAACTCGCGCTCCTTCACGACCTATGTTACGAACTGACATTCCGAAAGGATCTTTGGGCCTTGGGGAAGGTCTTGATGTATTTTTTAGACCTACCACGCCTACAACTCCGCTGATTTCTCCAACTAGTGATGATAGTTCTCTGCATACATTCCCTATAGACGGTAGCCCAAATTTATCAATAACAAGTCAACGCAGTATTCCTCCGGAGACAGATAAAAAGCCTCATGGCTGCAACTCGCCTATTCTAAAAACTCTTCTTGAGCCTACACCACGTTCACGGTCTAGCGATAATTTTGAGAAATTTTCTCCGCTTGCGGGTCGTCGTTCTCAAGGTGACACGCCTTTGACAGCCTCACCACTGGCCCGACGAAGCGCCGCGGAAAATTCGCAGTCTCAAGAACCAGAGGCTAGAAAAGCACGAGGAATACAATCGACATCCACGGCTGGAAGCCCTCTGTCAACACCGACCACTCGCTTATCGCGCGATTTGTCTGGCAATGAGACTTCAGAGTCCTCGCCAGACGGCGATAATCACAAGACCTCAGTGAGAAGCCACGGTAGTATTTTAAGTAGTTCAGCAGACAACGAAAAATCAGTAAGCGGCCAAGCGACCAATAAATTCCGATCGATTTCATCCATCCAAGAATCCCGTGGTGCTTTTAATTCTTTACAGTCGGAAGTTTGTCCGTCCAATGATTCAAATAAACAGCTGTCGAATGCTGGTTCTTTTAAAGCTCCAAGTAAAGTTAGTTATAATATTAGCGGCGAACAATCTAGAAGTAGCTCGAGTATTAATTCTTCTAGAAATAGTAAACCTCTACCGCCAGCTACTGCGCCAAAACCGAGACCATGGAGCATGACTGGTGATAGAAAATCAGGTAAATTCATTTTTTATTTAATAAATATAATAATAAATAATAATTATTTTTGGGTTATGCAGGTGAATTTAATAATTTATTGAGTGACGGTTCAAGTCCAAATACGTCGGCAGGGAACACTCCAGACTCTGGTGATGCTCTTGATGAATCCACTGACAGTGGAGTCAGTGGACCAGCTTCCTTACCGCCTACACTTTCAGCGAGTAGTACCGCGAGCTCATTGAGCAGTAGCACAGTTGAAAAACGATCTGTTCGAGAGCTCGCAGCTAGTTTGAATAAAGGAAAAACAGATCGTAAAGAAAATGGTATTTTTTATTTTAATCAATTAATTTTTTAAATTATCACGCTTTATTATTTCATGCTTTATTTTAATTTAAACATTATTTAGCAATTTGTTTTACAAATTATTTTAGAAGAATCCGTACCCATTGCATGGAGATCAGTTCTGCATCGTTCTGTTGATCGTACAGTAAATAAGGTATTTTTTGTTTTGTTTTTTTTTTTTTTGTTTTTTTTTTTTTTTTTTTTTTTTTTTAATTTATCATTTTCATTCCATTTTAATTTCACGCTTCAGTGGTTACAAAATAACAAATCACTAGAAAAGTCTGTATATACCTCAACATTGTAGTTTATTTAAAATCAACAACTAAACGTAAGTTTTATTTTCAGGAGCAAGTACCGAAAAAGGATGAGGACAATCGCATTAATTTCAAGCTTCGGCGAACATCATTTCTACGTGACTCCAATTTCAATTATGACAATGATGTCGTTGATGTATGACAGTCATTGCATCTAGTAATAACATTCCATAATTTTTGCATTAACGGCGGGTTTTTAATTACAAGCCTAGTCAATCTTCCATACAGCGGCGTTATTAGGATCAGAAAATTAATCAGTTATTATTTATTTTTATTTTTATCTTTCAAATCATTAGTAAAAAAAATTTGAATTCGTAATTGCAATATTATAATAAGTAATTTTTAGTACGTATTAGGGTGTTGGTGGGTAATAGAAGTTGTAAGACTTCTACACTGCAGATTGGATTCGGATTCCAGTAACTGCAAATAAAAATTAAGTAGCGTATAGTGAACAAATCGGACTTTTAATAACATATGAAATCAATTAAGTAATCGTTGAAAAATGGTACACTATGTTACGTGAATTTTATTAACGCGTTTAATAAAACGATAAAATATTAAACATATATACGTTCATATTTAATGAAAATGTACATAATACTTAGACACTCGATGATTAATTTTTAAGCGTAATTATATTCAAATGATTGAAAAAAATGGTGAAATCGAGTCAATTGTTTCATTATAATAGGCAGTTTACGACCGTAAATTAACTTAGCTGCACTATTCGGTTATTTTATTTATATTAATGAGACTTAAATATTAACTTAATGTATTTATAAAGAACAGAACAAACGGGATCGTAATGTGCCAAAAAGTTCCCGTATAAAAAATCATTGTCTTAAGATATTTGTATTATATCAATATTATTATAATATACATACAAATGATTTTATTCTACTGCGCTTAGTTTTATATTATTAATTTTAATTTATAAAATATTACAAGACTTGGATAACATAAAAGACGGGTCCATTGTGAACAAATTTTATAATCAAGTATAAATTATTCCGAGCTCTTATTTTATTATTAACTTATTAATCATGTTTATGTTTTTACTTAACTACCAATAAGTAATCGATGAATTTATTTTTATGTAAATATTATGACAGTGAATTTTGTTTTGCTGTAATTGGTCATTTATTTTTATCAGTTTTTGTATTTTATAATGAACTAGCTCATTATTTTATGGTAATTATTATTATTATTATTATTATTATAATATAAAAGAGATCTATAATCAATAAATCGTATAATGAAATTTTTAGTTGTCAATTTATTTACAATCATTTATTATTATTTTTATTAAAATTTATAAAGAAGACTTCTCTCGGAGGAATTTCTAAGGGACGAATATGGGTGTTAATAAAATTATTTTGATTAAATGATTTTTTATTCTCAGAATAAATCTCAACAATTAATTAAATTGAGTCATTATCATTTGACATGTCTAACAAACAAAAATTTATGTTGAAAAATTCTATAGGTAGTCAATATTAAAAATAAAAACTCAGATTTTTTAATAATCAATAAAATATTTAACAAGTAATGGAAAAAATAAAAAAAAAAAAGATTATTTTAATTCCAATTAATTTGATACAGTTTGCGTAAGTCTAAAATTTGAAAAATTTCCTGTATTTTGAAACGAGGCAGTACTTTTTTATTTTATCGCTCACAAAGTTGACTGGTTTTACAAGTAATGTTTATAAATTTATTTACATAGCCAGGGTTTTGAAGATCAATATACTATTTTATTAATTAATTAACATCATTTCTAAAAACTTTTTTTCTGGAACTTTCAACAGCTGAACTTGCGCCTGCGCTTTACAACACCATCTGTAAATGCTCCAATAATCAACTCGTTTTTCTGATTTTCTAACCTTAAGATTGATCTTCATAATCTGACAGGTGACGGATGACAAATGACAAGTAAGAAAAAACAAAGTTTTTAGTTTTTAGTGATAGATTCTAAATTAGATTTTTAAATTATCGAAAATCATGCAAAAGAAAAACTAATATTTAAATAATGTATTGTTATAGAAATGAACGATAGACCTGTAGAGTCTCTATATTAAACTGTGAGATAAAAATGATAACAAGTGTAAATATTGATAAAAATAAAAAAATAAATTAGTGATAAGGATGAATAAATCTCGTGGAGAAAAAAAACAAAACCAATTGCCTGGTTGGCTTTGGCCGACATCAAATGTATTACCTTCCATGTATCGTAAAGTTTGGGATACTGTGAAAGAGGAAAGCCTGGGACTGGGTGCAATGCAAGGTGAATTGCTTGTGGATACTAATAAAGTATTTCCTTTGCTGTTAACTAGTCAACTACCTACTGAAGTACTAGGTTACATTTGGAGTTTAGCTAATCAAAAGTATGCTGGGCAACTTACAGAACAAGAACTCTATATCGTATTGGCACTCACAGCAATTGCACAAACCTCCTACACATTTACCAATCTGGATGTTCTCCATATGCTACCTGGACCGCCGATTCCTCGGCTAAATTTAAACATTTTGTATTCTAATGCATTGCATTCACCAATTTCAGAAACTAGTCTTATTGGAAGTCTTGATAATAAGCATGATCGACGGAGTAATAACAAAAATTTAAATGCTTATCCTTCAGCCATTCCCAGTGTCATTAATAATTCATATGTTAACGAGCCGAAGATGTCAAGTGTCCTGGTTAATAAAAGTTGTACTGATGAAAAAGTAATCTCTGTAGGTCATAATGTTAAAGCTTGTCATCCAACAAATTCATTATCATTAGATTTCAATGACGATTTTACTGACTTTCAAAGCGCTCCTATTCCTCAAATATCTAATACAGTAAAATGGGATTATAAACAAGGCTCAGCAATCGGTAGTAGGCTAGCTAATCATAATCTAAGTGGAGGAATGAATCTTATTGAGAAAAAAAAAACAAATTCAAATAAAAGTAATCATGGTAATTTGATAGGTTCACCAGTGCTTAATAAAGACCGTCCGGTTGACGTTCATCATTCTAATAATTTATTCTCAAAATGTATTGTAAAGAATCAAGCTAAAACTGTCATTCTTAAAGACACTATTATCAGGAGTAATAGTGAGACGGTGCAACAACAAATACAAAACAATTCTCGAGAAGTAAATATTGTTGAGAATATAGAAAACACCCCAGTACCTGAAGTATTACCGAAGAATATACCGGCTGCTACAGGGCTTGATAATTTACCACAAGATTTAATGAATCTCCAACCAGTTGAAGATAAATACAGTGCGTTGAGAGTACTCGTTGAGGAGCCCCCAAAATCTAATATCACTCAAGCTACTGAAGATTCTGATCTTTTTGATGATTTTGGTGACTTTGTATCCGCAGAACAATCAGCGGAGCCAGAAGTTTCAAATACTCTTCAAATTAGTATTGCAAGTGTTGATGATTCCATGGATTTATTCACTGATTTCGAACAATTTTTACCCAATGTTAATGATAAAGAAGAGATTTCTTTTACACAAGAGACTATTGAAGCTTTTGCACAACTTGAAATTACTGCGAGTCCAGAAAAAACCTTAAACTTTCTTGAAAAGAAGTATGAAGTTACCATCGATCCAGGTAAGATTATAAAAAATTATGATAATTATTTTCAAAATATTAAATTTTTTATTTTACAGAAAAAGTTATGCAGAAAGAAGATACAGCTTCGATTAACAGCATCGAATTGGGTAATGCAAGAGTTATAACTCGATCCAACTCAGTTCCAAGCTTAGATCTTAAATCTTTCCTTCCTGCTAATCTTGAAGAAGATAAGGAAACAGAAAATATGTATCAGGTATTTTAAAATATTTAAAAGTTTTTGATAAAAATTAATAATAATTATTCTTTAGTTGATCTATTGGGAGTGGAAACAATACATGGAGAGTTGCGTTTTACTACTTCAAGTCGCTACCAATATATTTACAAATATTAGTTCCGATAAAGTACTTCAAGAAGTACTCAATTCTGGCCAAGGTTACAATTTTCTTTGCAGTACGTATTTTTCTGTAAATAATTAAAAAATTATAAATAGAATTATTATTAATCGTAATTTATTTAGATTTAGCTGAAGTTGCTAGTGTTTGCCGGAGAGTTAATTTTGCTCACAAGGAAATGGATATAAATATAATGAATTTTGATGATCTTCTAACGGAAATTGATAGATTATGGGCTGAAATGGAGCCGTTTTACTCAAATATTCCGGTAAAATACTTATTATTTTATTAATATATAATGTAATACTCAATGATCACAATTTTTTTTTTTTTTCCAAGATTGTTACAGAATTACCAACGTTCCCACAGCACCCAAACTGTAATACAGCATGCGCGCTTTGTTTAACAGCAGTTACTAGTAATAAAGTTACTTACAATGATAATGTTTATCACGTAACTTGTGCTAATTTGTGGCTTAATTGTGTTAATCATAATTTACCAGTTTTACGTCACGTGTCGTCTCATGAACATACCAATATTACTGAGAAGACTTATTAACTAGTTTATTATTATTATTGATATTAGTATTGTTTAGAAAAAAACAAAGTAATTTTATTCCTTCCAAAATAATTTAAATTACATGAATATTATTGTCCGCACAAATTTGATAAATTATAGAATAATAAATTCACAGAGAATCTCAAATTGTTATTAAGATAAATTATAACTTATCTATTAAAGTATTGTTAATTATAATAATGGACATTTTATTATATTTCGAAAAATGTTTATCTTTGACTTGTATCACGTGGACGATAAACAATTCCCCGGCTTTTCATTTCCCTAATTACGGCCGCTGGCAATCTTCCCGATACTGATATTGCATAAACTCCTCTCGTAAAACGATCTGAAAATTTTTTATTTAAAATTAATGATCTATATTTTAAATTTATACATAAGTGATAAGTAGTATTATCTAACAATTTTCATTACTTTATTAATAAATTAATTATATATTTCAACAAAGTAATTAGAAAACTATGAAATATTCAATTCACAGCGCTCTAAAAATTTTATTATATAAATTAGCCTTGACTAATTTAATTAATTAAATAATAATAATAATAATAATAATAATAATAACAATATCAGATTGTTTCTCTATTTTAAAAACTTAGAAAATATAATAAAATACTCACTTATTCGTTGCCATTTAGCTACCCAACTATCTTCAGGACTCATCGCTGCGATCATTCTAGAATAATTAAAAAAAATAAAGACGAGTTTGAATAATTATTTTTTAACAAAATTATATGAAAGTAAAAAAAAAATTACCCATCAAAATTAGCACTCGAACAATCAAAGACATTGTCTTTGTTATTTTTCATTCGTAAAAATTCATCGCAATTGTCACATCCATCGATTTCAAATTGATCACTGGTCTAAGAAAATTCAAAATATTTGTTTATTTTTTTAATATGAAATAATTAAAATAGAATAATTATTCAATTAAGGTTAATAGTTACCTTTATCAACGAGCAAACTAAACAAGCACGCAAATGTCTTAATTCTTTAGGAACAGTTTCCATTATAATTATTAAACAGTTTAATTATTATATAAATGTTTATTTACCAAAATTTAAATACTAATTAACTTAAATATGTTAAATGATAAATTATCAGTGATGTTATTGATTGTGTTTATTCCTGAACTCGAACACTGTATATTGTTACAAATTTAGAGGTTATGTCTGTTATGATTGAGTATACCTCTATGTGAACACTGGATTCTTCAATCATCAATCATCATCATCATATATAACTACAACTAATTTCTTATATATTTACTATACTATAGTCAAGGGGCTCCAGCAATTATTTTTATGGAAACAAGTGTGTTCACTCGGCTATATTGAAATATATTGAATCTTTGAATCTTTGACCTCTCTCTCTGACTCTAAATTGTTTTTCCTTTTTTGTTTTTAAATATACTATTGATATTTAAAAATGTCGGACAACGAGAAGGAGGAGGCTCGTAATCTAGTAAGTAATTTACCTTTTGCCTAACATTTATCTAATCATAATGACCTTGTCAAAATAAGATAATAAGAATTATCAGATTACTGCTCAGAAATTAACTCTCGTTCTATTTTAATAACATTTTTTTAATATTCGAATCCACCAAGTTCACTAGGTTATGTTTTCATTTAATTTTTACTCTAATATATAAATAATATATTTCTCTATTAACTAAAAATATAAAATTATTATATTTCAATTGTGTTAATCAAAATAGATAACATGGAATTATCACTTGCAGTAAAGATTTTTTTTTCTCTACGGTTGAAAATATTTAAATTGAGAATAAATATAATAGCCAACTTTGATATCGAAAAGTTTAATAATATTTTTATTTTTTTTTTTTAGCAAATGGAATTTGAATGGGTACTTCATGATGAAATACACCCATGCTTACAACAATTGAGATCAATACTGACAGTAAGTTTGAATAAATTATTTGTACAAAATTATAAAATTTATTTCTATTTTTCAGGAATGTTGTTCGCGATTTCCTATGGCTCTATTTGGTAATGATCAACAATGTAAAGTTGATAGATTTGTTTTTTCGTCTCCTCACGATCAAGTTAAATGTGTAGTTGTACTTACTGGTGACAGTATTACGAATGCTGTAAGTTTTAATTTTTAGTTAATAATTTATAATTATAAGAAATAATCTTCAGTTATATATATTTAATTTGAAATCTTATAATTTTCAACAAGTGATTTGTAGTAAATAAATTTTTAATTTATAATTAAAAACATAGTATCTTTTAGAGGTGCGATAAAATAAAAAAAATTCCTAATTAAGATAATTAAAAAAATGAATTTTATATTTTCTTTCTATCAATAATTATTAGGAAGTGACATTCAAAGTTCAACGTCAGCAAAACGTTTCAATGAGAACAAGTATACAGAATGATCATCCATGGAAATTACAACAGATCCAAGATGCTGCGAATCACCTTCAACAAGCTATTGCACATATTGACAATGTAGATCGTAATTATTTATTTAAAACATCTGAGGAAGTTTTACATATACTTGCCAATATTCTTGGGTGCCTTCAACGAAGTCGGTCGAGTTTAATTGTGCCTAAAAAAAAAACCATTGATGATTTGATGAAGAGTCGCAATATGGTAAATAAACTCATGAATTTCAGATAGTTCAATTAAGATGACAATAAATTGAACAATGTAAATTTTGTTTTATTTAGAAATCATTAAATCCAAATTTACCAGAAAACTTGGCAATTAGTTTCTACATTCAAAGCTATAAGCTCATTTTGGCTGTGTATCAGTTAGAAAGTACACATGGGAATGTAAAATATGAGTCGCAACAAGCTGAATGTAATGTACCATGGCTAAATGACGCTTTGATACTATTAACCATAGCTCTACAGCTTTGTCAACGACTGAAAGATAAGGTATGAAAATTTGTTTTTTCATTTAACCCCTGACAGGCAAGCAACTAAACAATATTCCTATAACAGCAATGAGGGTAAAAAAGACTAGTACAATTTAATTTCAAGTATCCAATAAAGACAATTAATTCTTTTTCTTTGCAGATATCTGTGTTTTCTCAGTATAAAGATTTTACAGTAGGATCAAGAGCTCCATCAGTTATGGGTTTAAACTAAAGTGTATAAAAAAAGTTTTATTTATTTATTTATTTTTTTTTTTTTTTTTTAAGATAATAAATCGTGTGAGTCAGTTTTACTAGATGTGTTCAATTTAAAATGCACATTAATCCAGTGATTAGACCTTTGCTAGAATTTCTTTTAAGATAGACTAATTTTTTCTTTTAATTTTAACTATAAATTCAACGTGAGAATAGTAAGAGTAATGTTAATATAAGAAAATAAAGCCATCTTAAATCGTAATGGAAATCGTTTTTATTTTATAAATTAAACGAACCCCGGCAATAAAAATAGTAATGTATGTTTGTAACTAGTGTTTTATCTTGAAGAATTTAATTTTAAGTCCAAGCATTATATTAGTTCATATCAAGTTACAATAACACCCACAATCACACAATATTATAAGTTATGTGTTAAATTATGAGCATGTGAATGGGTAAATGTTAGACCATTATCTAATTAATTTTTTTAAATACTTTATCTATAAATAAATTTTAATAAGCTAGTATTTTTGAAATATTTAAATAAAAAATTATTATGATTTTGTTTTAATAATTCAATAATTAAAATCAAAAAAACGATGGTAATGAGAATTAGATCTACTATCACCTGCGTTTTGGACATAAATTGATTTATATTTTTTCACAACATACATTAACATGGTATAGACTTATATGTATACATAATAATTATATATAATAATATATTTATATAATTTTTTTTTTTTTTTTCATTTAATTTTATATAGGTACACTTTTCCTCGTCTGACACAAAAATATAGAATCTATGGTAAGGTAATTTCACAGTCGATACCAAAAGAATTTATATTATAAATAATTCAACTAATTTTTTATAAATTATCTTTATCTTTCTTCTTTGTTTATTTTACTTTTCTTTCATTTTTTGGCAAATACACTTGCAAGCTATGTTTACTGAGGTATATATTATTGATATATTATTATTTCTGAATATCTTCCCGTAATAGCTTCGCCAGTATGATATATTATTTTTTTTTTTTACTAAGTCTTATCGTGTCAATGTCGACAAAAATCATAGATTGAGTGGAAGACGAGGAGCAGCTGGAGCACATTCATTATATTTGCGTTTAATAACTGGGTTTATACAGAGTTTGCAAGTCTTTAAATATCTAATAAGAGTTACGGAGTTACAAAAATTATGAGAATCTTGTTTTAGTTTTTATACTTGATAAATTCTAAATTTATTAATTTAAACATGCTCCATGAAACTCCACTTCCAAACGCTTTATTAATAATTTAACTTGCTTAACTAAAGAGAACTACGAATAAACCCTAGCAGTTTCAGCACCTCCCGAGAAACGTGGAATAAACTCGGCGTCTTCGTTAAGATTTATTGGTGGTTTTTTTTTTTTTTTTTTTTTTTTTTAATTTAGTAATTTCGCGGCGTAGCAGTTTCAAATCTGTGTTAATATGATTAAAAGAATCGTTAACTGATTGTTAAATTAATAATTGAGTTAAAAGAACATTCTATTAAATCTACTAATAATCGAAATATTTTACAAATATTAAATAAAAGTAGTTTTTATTTAAATAATAAATTGTTTTTTAATTAAATTTAAGTAGACAGTACATTTGAAAATATTGTAGCTTAAGTTAACGCTGTGAAATTACTAATTTAATTGAATATTAAAACCCTTAAAATTTTGATTGTTCTTATTTGAAACAAATTTTTTCAGTCTTGCTCCCGGATTGTGCAGGTATAATTTCTAAAAACACCATTAAAATTGTATTAATTAAACACCGCGGAAATTATGTTTTTCATCCGAGTTTTGATCGGGTCATCGAAACCGCTAAAGAAGTTAATATTGTGCTTCATATTATAACAATGAACAACTGCGAATGATACATCATGTAATGTCTCTGTCAATTTTAATTTATCAAAGCCCAATTCAATGGCTCGACGAGGAAACTCTTATCGAAAATTGATCATTTTCTATCGATCAAATGCATTTTTAATTTTATAAGCTATCTTTTTTTATCGGTAGATATAAATTTATCATTGTAATGAAAATTGTGATAGCTGGGGATACATATGGTAATCCATAAATTATTTTCAATTCAAACCCAAATTTCAAGTAATATTTAATAGTTCTTTTTGTTAAAGAATAACAAAAACTGCTTATGCAAAAATTTTTTGTTTTTTTCTTTTTTGTTTCGTTCGAATAGGCCGTGTATAAAGATAATAAGTTTGGACTTTTTCATTTTAGATATATATATATATGAGTATTAACATTGACTTTCAAGACCTACAAAAGACATAGATGGATGTCGTTAGATCAAATAATTTCTTTTTCTTTAAAATGAAATGAAAGTATTTAATCAAAATAATTTATTCATCTATCTGATGTTAATCATTATTAATCATTTTTTTTTTTTTTAGCTTTACTTCAATACCCAATAAGCCAAAATAGTCACAATATCCATTTCTTACTATGTAAATTATATATATGTATACACACATACGCATATATATAAATGTATATATTTATATATGTATAAATATATATATATATATTAGTTTAAAATATTACTTCATTGTCCAGATGTATTAGTTGAAGTGCCAGTTGTCGGTTGTGATGAATCATTTGTTTTATCAGTCGGTTTGTCTATTGTTTGAACAGGTAATGCTTTTAATATTGCATGTACTTCTTCAGCAACAGCGACAAGTACAAATTCAAATTGTTGTTTAGTTGCTACCATTCCTGGTCTTTGGTCTCTGATATGCTCAAGTGCAGCAGCGATGTCTATTTCTTTAGTACCTTTAGCCATTCGATTAAGTACCATGTCAATAAGACAATAAGTACCCGTTCTTCCTGCTCCATCACTAAAAACAATCATTATATTATTACAGTTATTTATATTTTAAAAAATAAGAAAAACTCAATATAGTTCAAACGAAAAATATGATATGTCGTTAATTATAGAATACAAATTGATTATTTACCTGCAATGAACAAGAATTGGACAAGATCTGCCGCGATAGGATTTATTAACTTTTCTGCGAAATTCTAAAAGTGATTTAGTCGACTGTGGAATACCATTTTCAGGCCACGAAAGGAAGTGAAATTGTGTTACGGTTCTTGTTTCTCCTGTACGTAAATTCTTCAAGTAGAATGAACGAACCAAATAATCATCACACCAAATGTGCTCGGAGACGAGATGAACTTCGTAAATATGGTAAAGCTCAGAGCCTTCTTCTGGCCAGTATCTGTGACACATAGCACGTCCTTCTTCAGTTAAACGAGTCAGCATAACAATTACAACACTTCCTTGCTCCCAAACTAATTGCCAAAAATCTGCCGACGTTTGTGGTAATGGTCCTTGAGTTGCTATGTAAGCCGGATTTCTTGGATCATGGTCAGTCTGTTGATTAATTTTTATTTTTTATTTATTTTTTATAATTCCAACTATATTTTTTTAAGCTTATTTTTATGTTATGCTAAGCGAAGTGTTGTCATGGATCTCATGGGTATTTTTAAACGTCAAGCAAATCAAGCCTACTTCATGAATATTCTTAATAATTTTATTGATTACATTAGCAAGGGAATAATTAATTAATTAATTTAATTGTATCAATGATACGATAATATTACTGTTTTTTTATTTAAGGAATTCAACTAGCAGTCATTAAATTATTATTGATTTGAGTGTTTGCCTTGGTGATTGAATGCATGTTTTGTTCTAAACCATGTAACTTACCGGTGTCTATTTAATTTGCGGCATCCAACAGAATAATTAGTATCGTACGTAACTTTTTAATTCAACAATTTTTCTTCAATGATCTAATTGTGTAACTTTTCGCTCAATCAATGAATAAATGTCAATGAAATATAGTTATTACTTTACTTCAATTCATTCGAAGATAAGAATGACAATTTATTGTAACAAACGAATTAATAAAAAGTTTAATTACATACTATAATTTAAATAAAATTTGAATATCATATCTAAGCGAAAAGTTATCGAATTTAATATTTTTTTAACTTTTAAACAATCTGAATATAAATAATCGCATTGTGCTATAGCTTAAATTTTATATTGTGAATAATTACAAAATTTTTCATAGCAATAGAGATCCAATCAGTGAAAATAATTAAAAAATAAAAGTTTTTAATAAATTAAGTGAAATGAAAGTTAATTTTTTCTATTAATAGAAAGAAGTAAATCAGTATTTATATAATTATAATATTTTTCTTTCATTTCAATTAAATTAATCATTATTTGATAAATAAATATTAAATTTAGTTACTTACAATAGTTGATGCATTAATATAATCAGAGTTACTAATATTAGTGAGGTCATTAAGGATAACTCTTGAGTGGTCATAAGGATGTACTGAACCAGAACGATTACGATTAGCATTAGATTTATTATCTGCAACCGCTGTTGAACATGGATCAGGTTTATAAGCACAAATAGCTGCCCATTCTTGGTCCAATCGGTCTTTGTTATTTAAATGATCTTCCATATACGACTGCAATATTAAAATCAAGTTACTATACTTCACTCGCCTATTTTTTGTTATTGAATTAATATTATTGTAATTAAAATAACTAAAAGTTAATACAACAAGTAAATTAATAATAAACCACTTGAAATAAATAAAATTATTAAACAGTACCAAAACCATGTGTCCAGTAGATATGTCCATGTTAGAAAGTGAAGCGGCTTCTTCACCTCCCCAAGAAGAAGTACTAGATCGATTAGACTGACTTTCTTTCGATAATTTAGCAACACGTGGTACTTCAACTTTTTCAGCTGGTTGTTTAGCGTGCATTCTCGCTCGGCACAATTCTTGATAATCATTCGAAGCTTCAGGATCTGGAGTTACAAGTCCTGCTAACTTAGCTCTCGTCTTAGCATGCCGACGTGCTATTATTAAAGTTATTATTGCTGCAGCAGCTGCTGCTGTTACTCCCGCGACAACTAACCCAGCGAATAACATTGAACTTATTGAATATTCAACATTTGTTACTTCTAGCATTGGTGGAAGTTTTGCCTAATATTCAATTAATACAATTTATTGAAAGCACTTGATGAAATTGTAAAAAAAAAAAAATATAATAAGATTTATTACTTACTTTATCACCGATTCCAGCTCTTATTATATTTACATTCATAGTTTCTCGTAATGTTCCTCGAATATTATCTGGAAAAAAAAAAAATTAATAAAAAAGTTACTTATATCTAAATTTTTTTACATGTTCATTATTTTTAAAGACTTACCAAGTTGGGATACTACTTTCATAGCATCGATATTATGAGAGTTTTTGAATACTCTAAAAGTAACTTCGGCTCTTCCAACTCTAGGATTTGAAAATGTACCAGAATCTAATCCAAGCAATTCTTCAATCTAATAAACGTTTGGAAATTTATAAGTGAAACAATGTGAGAATAAAAATACTTTAAATAGTTAAGCAAGTTACTTTTTTAACAATTTTATTTCCTTCTGCCCACTTGTGAAACTCTTCTTTAAATTGAATATAAACATGATCCATATCAACGTTGTCGTAATTTGGTGATGTATCTTTGTCTAATGATAATCGAGTTATATCTTTTCCAGCAATCAATTCTTTTTTCATTAAAGGTGCTCTTAAGTCTTCCTGGTTCATAAAAATAATATGAACAGTGTAAATTATTAGTCATATTAATAACAATTATTTTTAGTTTATTGTTATTTATAATTACCTCATTTTCGTGTAAATCACTGTCCTCAATTGCTTGAATAATAATTAAAAAATTAGTTACAAAATTTTATAGATAAAAATTAAATAATAAATAGATTATTTATCTTACATCTAGGTGTCTGTGTTTTAAAAGCATAATTGTTCGTTGAAAAATAAGGTCCAGGTTTCTTAACATCAAGTCTTTCAGGCCTTTTAAAGCCAGGTAGTTCTCTGTTCCATATTAATGTTGGAAGATCATCAATATTAATATTATCTGACTCTAAAAGATAAATACAAAAATAAATAAAATCATAGATTTTTATCTATATAAATAATAAGAGTAACATAAACTGAAGCATAACTAACCTTCGACATAAATATCACGAAAATTTGATGGTTGGTCGAGATCTTCTTCAGTAAAAATTTCACTTTTAATTCGTTCCGGAATTTCATCGGTTTCTAATAATTTTACAACTTGTTTTTTACTTAATGTTTCTTCAGGGTCTTCAAGTTCTTTTTCATCTTGTTTTTTCTCATTTGTATTTTCGTTATCTCTTAGTCCATCCCATGCTCTATCATTTTTAAGAAATTCCATCCTTGCAAGATCTTTGAGTGTTGACTTATCGAGTCTTTCTTTATTAAATTTTCTCGGTAAGTTAATATCAAACCAAGAATCTCCTTTATCTTTGTTTCTATCTTCTTCTTCATCCTCAATAACTCTATCATCTAAATCTTCATATTTATCGGTAGAATCTTTCAAATATTCTAAATAATCAGTCAATTCAGCTCCTAAACTACGTGGACTTTCACCATGTGGTTGACGTCGTGATCTAAATATTGTTGTTTCTTTGGCTTCATCAATTTGTCGCTGGCGTTCTAATTCATTTAACTTTTTTGAAATTCCATAAAGATCTTCATTATTGTATCTATTTATTTCATTCAATTCATCAGGCTTGAAGATTAACGGTGCATCGTCATCATCATCAGCATCATCACCATCATCATCATCATCATCATCATCATCATCATCATCACACCATCATCATCACCATCATCATCATCATCATCATCATCACCATCATCACACCATCATCATCACCATCATTTATTGTTTTCAAAGTTTAAAGTTAGATGGTGCTCCGGTTTCTGATCTTCAATCACCAGATAAGGATAATCTTCAGTATTTTGCGGATATTGCTCATCAAGCGGTGATAATAGAGGAGGATGGTACATTTCGTTCGCGAAATTTCCATAACCATGACCTCGGGTAGGCATAAAATTAACGACAGCTAGAGGCAAAGTATCCTGAAAATTTTTATTAAAATTAATAAACACATTCTTTTTCAAACTTACGTATCATTTTCTATTATATCTTACTTCATCTTCAGGTTCATTAATCGAACCGAGTAGTGGATTTAATTTGAAATTTTTTAATTTCCGACATATATTTATATCATAATTTACGTCATTATGAATGCTGTATAGCGCTTCTTGCATTACACACTGAGTGTACGGATGAGACCACTCATATTTTTCAGCTACTAGTTTTTCCAATTGTTTTCTTAATAATTCTAATTGTCTTGGATCTAAATCATACTGATAGGTACTTTCATCACTGTCATCAGTTGATGAAATACATCTACCAAATGCAGCATCTGAAAAAAAAAAAAAAAACCACTTTTAATTTTTACTTCTACTTGAAAAATTAAATAATTAACATTACCATCAAAACAGATTTCATCAATTGATGTACAAACATTTCGGTCGAATAAACATCCTGGAAAAATAAATAATATTTTCATTGATTTACCTTAAAAGAAATAAAATGTAAAAGGTGATTTAAAAAAATTTACATTTTATACATTTAAAATTATATTATTCAATAGGTAAATTATATGGCAATAAGTAATGTAAAGTTTACAAGAATACTATATGTACTTTCATTACGATCGTTATTTCATCTCATTTATTCTAACAGACAAATGTTATGTTCTACATTTTTATGACATGATTTCAATGCGTTTTATTATTTCTCAAGTATTCTCTATTCATAATAAGAGAACTTTATTCCGCTTGGATTACATTCATTAATTATTCATTTGGACCTCTAAGTATTTTGTCATATCGACTCGCGTGCATCACCCAGAGTCGCGTGATTGGGATATTACATTACATGTGTAGTAATAAATTTTGAAAATGTTAAACTGAATGGAAAATAATAAAATATATTTTTTTTTTGTTATATCTATTCATTATTCATTATAATTACATGTTTATTTCTTATGAATAAATTATTTCGGCTTGAATATTGATAACAACTTCTTTTTTACTTTTTTTTTTTTTTTTATGAATAGTTCAGGAGCTGAGGTTAAATATTATTAAAAAAATAACAACATACTTTATTGTTATTTTGAAATAAAAATACATGTTCTAGAGTTCATGATGGAGAGAAAATATCAAGTATGCGTGGGAAGTTAAGCTCAATAACGTCAAACGGGCGGTGGATAACTCTGTGTCTCTATTATTCATAACTTCTCTTTTTAATGTTGACGTAAGCCAGTAGCTTTTTGAGCTATTGTTATACATTAGAATTTATTGAGTAAATTTTTGTATATAAAAAAAAAAAAATTATATGTATATTTAGTAAAATTATCAAAATTTAATTAAAAATAAAAATAAGGGGCAATTATAATTCTGATTGCATTTACCTATTTCACCATCACTATGGACCACCTGATTGTTTATAAAAATAAATATCAGTAATAAAAGGCTACTGCCCCCTTTCCACCACTTTTTACGACCCATTAATGATTTTCTGAAATATAATTGACAATTAAAATATATTTATAAATAATAATTCTTCATTAAAAATTAATAATTAATAATTATTACAAACTAATTAAAATTTTTAACACTTTTTGAATTTTAGTTTAAAAAACTAAATAATAAATATATACTCAATAATATAAACAGTTTTAACGTTTAAGAGTTAACTGCAAAAAAAAAAAGTCGTGCGTTAAGAAAATCAATATTTTCCTCACAATGTATTCTCAACGCAACACCACTGGATCAACACTTGTGAATACTTATATTTATTATCAAACCTTATACAAACAGCTGCGAAAAAAATCAATATACATCACATTATAAGAATTAAAAAACAAAAAAATTTTTAATTAAAACTCTAAGACAAAAAAATATAAAATAAATAGTAGCAATGTATGAAATTGACGATAGAAGTTGATGCCGGTGGTTTGAAGCATCAGGTTGTCACATTTACTTATCACTATTTACAATAATAATCAAATCACTGGCACAAATTAAAAAAAAAAAAAAAGTATAAACTGTTGAATATTTATTTTTTAATATTGTATTTATTTACTTAAAATTAAAAAAAAAAAAAGAGCAAATTAAAAGAAGAAAAATAAAAAAAAGAAACGGGTTCTTACCCAACGTTTCTTAATGTCGCATAATATTTTTTAATTTATTATTAATAAATAATATTATTGTAATTTAGATATTGTCTACGAAAATTGTTTTATTATGAGAATATCGTTTTGTTATTGTTTATATCATTATTTTGGAAAAAAAATTGAATAAAGTAATAGGAGAGTGAGCTTTTTAATCCATTGACAGCGCGAAGAACCGTATGGTTGAAGAATCAAACAGATACTGGATCACTGGATGGAGTGGGTGCCAAAGAACCATTGATAGTGTTGGTGGAGATATTAGATAGAAGAGGAGGAAAGCACACTCCATACGGGTGGTAGAGGTATGCGATGAATTTCGAATCGATTTTACCGCGACTTTGCACAAGCTCCAGTAACCAACTGAGTGGTAGATATACAAGTAATAATAAAATAAAGAGAAAATGTAAGTGATGGTAGTTGTGACTTAGTAAATAGGAGAGGGTAGAGGGTGAACGATAAATTCAAGGAGAGGGTACATATACGAATAAGACAAATAAACTTGTGTGAGGGTTAAATGACACCAACTCTATGCCCTATGCGCATTACCGGTACACAATATAAAAAAATACATCTAATAAGTATATGAGATGCTGACAAATAATCTCTTTTTTATCCATTGTTGTCTTCATTATATGCTTCTTATAAATGAAAGGTCAAATATTATATATCCTTTATATTCATTCGATGTATTGTTCTATGTCTTCTTTTATATTAAATTTCATAATTAATTACTTCAGCTACATAAATAGTAACTTTAGTATTTCATTTATTACATCAGACATTTAATTTTTTAATACAACATTTAAGTTGATAAAATGATAATTTATTACTACAATAAAAAATTTTTTTCAGATAAGGTCACACAAAGCATTATCGATTTCAATGAGGGTGGAAACACTTGTTGCTGCGCAAACACCGGTTGGAAAGTGCATATTACTAGTGATTCAAGTATTCTCTTCAATTCAGTCATGTTCAGAAATTTTTTTATTTTAACTTTCTGCTTTAAAAATACAAGTCTTCAAAAAAGAAGTATTCAATTATTTATTAAATCTTGATAATTAAAACGAATTCTAATAAATAACAAATTTAAATTAATTCATTGAAAATTAAAGATTAAAAACTTAGTTGTGACTAGATCTGGTTACAAAGCCTAGCATTTTCCATGACGCTGTAACAACTCTGCTAATCTGCGGTTGAAAGTTCAATTTACTATCAAAGACCAACAACACCCAGGTCACAATGGTTTGACACCCTGGTGACCCGAGTGTTGTCAATTATATATATATAATCTATTAGTAGATGTATGAAGCAATGATAATGTTATCACTATTTCTATTTATATCCCCTCTCCTTATGAATACTTCAAAAATTTTTATACTATCACTGTCTAATGGACTGGTCCATTGGGTGTCAGAAAACTTTTAAAAATAAACTGTGTGTTGGACGTCACAAACCTCACCAAAATTGATTGATCCTTTCAATTAAGGAACATCAATCACGAAAAAATCTGAAAAAAATATTTTTAAACCAAAATAAACATGACAATGGAATTTAAAAATATATCTATACTTATGTTACTAATCACGTCGAACTCAAAAACATTTACACGGGCATTTTGATTTTTGAGCTTTTGTACTCAAAAATAGCGGAAAACATTAAAGACGGCCTGTAGAAAATTATTTTTTTAATTCTTTTATCAGTGATGATTTTTTTGCAGTAGGATATAAATTGATTTCTTACATTTTGGCATTAATAATTGATTTTTATTATTGCTATTAGAAAAAATAAGTGTAAATTTATCATATAAATTTTCTATATTGATATATATATATATATATATATATCTTTATTACGTTACTCCATTTTTTAGTGGGGAAAAATTCGAAATAGTATCACGTGACCGAATTTGATGAAAACGAGTGGTTATGGAGACTATATACTTATAGTGTCAAGTAGGTGGAATGAACCACACCTTTTTCCGAGTCTTTTTAGAAGTGAGAATCAGCGCTATGCTTCCATCTGTAGTCCAGAATAAGAAATCAAAAATAGTATCAACTGTAGTTCATGACGACAAAAGTCTCATTTGCACATTTGAAGTTTAATAGGTCTGACATAGAGGCCTCATCTGCCTGAAATAAATCCAATTTGAAAAAAATAAAAGTGAGGTTACTTCTTTTTTACGGAAGGCAGTGGAAATAAGGTACGTTTTATATCGTGTTACCGAAAATAATCAAGAAACATCTTATTATTTATTGTTAATAATTTGTAAATATTGTTTAAAACGTATAGAACTATTGATTTTTAATTTTATTTACCAGTGATTTTTCAATTATAATATTTATAATCGCGAAAACTCGATATTTTGTTGAGTGATTGTTTGTGGATGCTCATGCTTTTATAGTTTTGTTGCTACAGATAAAAAGTATTTTTTAATTATTATTTTACTCGATGCAAATTAAATATTATCATCAGTTAGTTTTATCACATTAACAGTTTAATAATTTCAAGTAACTATTTCTATTTATTGTTATAATGTGTCTTGGAATTAATTAGTTTATCTAAATTTTAAACAAAACTGCAGTTATTTTGTGCTATTTATAATTAATAAGTTAATTAACAAACAATTAATATTGTGTATTTTTTTACAGCTAGCCAAAATGGTTAAGATTATGAAAAGTGGTAAAGTGGTGCTGGTCCTTAGTGGACGGTACGCCGGACGTAAAGCTATCGTCGTAAAAAACTACGATGATGGTACCACGGAAAAGCCCTATGGACATGCTTTGATTGCTGGTATCGACCGGTACCCACGCAAGGTCCACAAGCGTATGGGCAAAGGAAAGATCCACAAGCGTTCTAAGATCAAGCCTTTCGTTCGTGTAAGTACAATTTGTGTTTCAAAGTAAATGATTTGTTTTTCCGTAATTGCATTCATTTTTATGATACTTTAAGAGAATTTCTTGGTCATTACTACTGTAATTACTAACCTAATGGCTTATATATCATTTTCATTTATTAACATGTGTATTACGGCACTAAATAATAATAATTCACTTGAATTTTTACAAAACATTCTGAAAATTTTAAAACTTTTTTTGTGTTGATAATTTTTATTAATCAAATAGCATTGAAAAGAAAATTCAAGTGAAAATTTTAAAAAATATGATTTAATTCTTTTTTCATTAAAATCTCCCAACTGAAACTAATAACTCCGAAAAATTCGAGTCGCCTATTACATACAATTAGCAATTTTTGTCAACATTTTCTTCAGAAGTATTTTAGTGATATACAACAAGCTCGACACGATACTTTGAACCTTTCATGAAATTGTCCGCAATTTAATATTATCAAAGAACAAATTCTCTAAAGTTTTTTTTGTAATATCACTCAGATTTTAATGGTCTCGTAAATTATAACTTCAATTATTATAAAATCCCCATTGGACAATTAGAATCATTTTTGTTTAACTTAGTTAATAAAAAAAAATTGAATCATTTTTAATAAAGATTTGAATCAAAATATAACAGACAAACAAAATTAAATTTATTAAATAGATTGGCTTTTCACTAATTGTTATATTCAATAAAGATATAAAATAAACAAGAAAATATATTTTGAAAAGTTTTTCAAGAATTTTGCTACATTTTTTTAAACAAAGACAAATTATTTTATGTTGTTGATAATGAAATGAATCTGTCGTTCTTTTTAACAATATTTGAAATGATATTTATCCGTCCAAAATGTACTAATAATTTTTTTTTTTTTATCTATATAGGTTTTGAACTATAATCATTTGATGCCAACCAGGTACACCGTCGATTTACCTCTTGATAAAGTGACAGCGAAGGACTTAAAAGATCCAGTGAAAAGGAAGAAGGTTAAATTCCAAACACGTGTCAAGTTTGAAGAAAGGTCAGTTTATAAGCTGAAAAATTAAAACTATTTGCATAATATAATTATAAAGCTAATAAAAATATTGTTTTCCTCTGTTTCAGGTACAAGATGGGTAAGAACAAATGGTTCTTCCAAAAGTTACGTTTCTAAATTGGTTTCATAAATATAAAACACTAAAATTAAATAAAATTAACATCTGAAAATAATATGGACTATTTATTTATTCGATAGTATCTAAGTGTAACATGTTCCGATATTTAAACCGGATTTCGAATACAATAAGCGTGATCAATTTTATTAAATGTAATATTTACACTAAGCATTTCATTATTCAAATGAGAAAAATTAGTTGCATAGAAAAATTGTTTCATGTATTAGAATGGTAATGGTAATAACAATGGATTGTTTATTTTTTTAATTTAGTCAGACGCTCTTCTAAATGATTGATGTTTTTGCGTATTGCTTCCAAATTTGACGCAAAACTTTCTTGAATGCCCTTGAGTACAGATTTATTACTCTCCAGACTACCTGTTATTTGTGATTGAACCTCTTCCAGCTGACTCAAAGATTTACTAAACTCTGCGGCTGTAAAATAAATTGATTGATTAATTACCAAATTAATTTGTAAGAAAATATAATTATAAATACCTCTAGAATGAATAGCATTTAAAGCAATCATTCTTTCGATAGTTTCTGGTAGAACTTGAGCCATAGGCTCTGTTTTTTGCACTATGTTATACATTTCTGCAATCTTTTGATCACGCTCAGTGTCGGCAGATAATGCCGATTTTTTTTGAGCTACTGAATCCAATCGATGGCACAAAGTTGCGATTCTACCTTCCATAACTTCTACTTGAGTACTGTCTAACAATGCAGATTTAGCAGCAAGCTGTTGTATAGCTTCGATAACTCCTTGTGTCTTGAGATTTGGCGTAAATTTAGCAAGTTTGTCATCACCTGAACCCACTACACCTTCCATTCGTGCTAAACGTTGCTCCAGTTGAGCTATTCTTGCTGTTTCTTGCATTCGGGCTCTTTCAGGTAAATAAATCATCTCATACTTTAATGTTCCACTTGGTGGAACTTTATCAGTTTGTCCTGAACCTTTGTCACTTGGCTTCTTATCAACGGTTCCAACATTTTTAAATTGTTCTATTTGTAATTCTAGTTGTCTGGAAAATAAATATTTTAATCAATTTAAAAATTACATAATAGTGGAAAATATTAATTGAAAAATTATCTATTTACTTGAATCTTGTTCCTTGAGGATCAGTCAACGTAGAAACTAAATCAGTCCCAAGGCATTCATCAATTCGTAAAATACTCAATTGCTTCCCTATATCTTCCACCTGAACCAAAATGTCGGCTGCGTTTTTAACTTCTCCTTCTTCTTTAGCATTCTCCTGTAATTAAATTTAAATTTTAATCGATACGTCAAAATATGTAATTAATTATTTATTATAAAAAAACATTAGTTGAGCAAAAATGTCATACTTTGAGTGCATTAACTTCGTCATAAAGTTCCTTTATTTCACATTGAAGTCGTTGATATTTTTGTATCAGTGTCTCTTGTTCTCCTTCACCAGGAAGTTCCCATACTCCAAAGCTGAACAAACAAATTTATCATTATTTAATTGTTATAGAGTAAAAATGAATAACATTATCAACATATCAACATACACAGCATTGTATCCAGTCCTTGGTTTTCCTGAAATCTTGTCAGAAAAATCAACACCTTTAGTGGCAACACTTTTTCCTTTAAATTTATTGAAAGCTTCACTCGCATTAATGTGTAACTTTTCAATTGATTCGGTTTCGTCCTATTGATAAAATTTAAATTAATATTAAAAAAAAAAAAAAAAAAAAACAAAATAATAACAAATATAATTAATAGATGGTTTATTGTTAACCTCATTGTCGTTAGAATACTGTTCAGATTCAGGTAAATCTGTGGTCTCGTAAACATCTACTTGGTCGTAAGCCTGTAAATATTGCACATACATGTTTTATTTTAGCACCAATATTTTATTCAACAAAATTTATTTAGTTAATTCAAGATGATTTTTTTAAAATACTTACAATTCCGGGCAAGTCAGCGTACTTTGAATCAGCCATGGTTTATTTTATCAAATCTTAAATAAGAGAGAAAAAATAATTTTTTATTTATTAATTACTGAATAAAAAAAGGGTAATGTAATGACAGATGTATAAAATTTGACAGTCCAGAAACGTCTAACTGTATTTACAGTGAATGTTAAATATACTTAAATGCTTAAATGGAGTAGAGTGCATAGTTACGCACTCTACACGGCAAGGTACCAAGGTATCAAATAATAATTATAACAATTTCTATTCCACGAATAAACAAGTAGTTTAGCAGAGAAATGAAGTACTAATATTCATTTAAACAATTACATCAAATAAATTATGAAACAAAAAAAAAATAATAAGCTTGTTAAATAAAAGTTTTTAAAATAATTTGTAATTTCATATGATTTAACTCTGGTAATGAAATCTAATCGTTTATGTTTATTGTTAAGGAAAGTAATCGATAGTACGATGTTGATGTTTTTATGCTAACATCGTTCGTCCTAAATGTATGTATAGAGAAACTTTTGATGAAATCGCCTCAAGTGTTAGAAATTCTTTCTGAAAAAAAAAAATTTTTTATTAAAAACATATGATGTAAATAGATATTTACTTCATAATTTACTTATAATTAAAAAAAATTTCAATATCATTGTTTTTGACATTCCCGCTCATGGAACTTTTTATATAATTATTATTATTATTGAACTTCCTGATATTATATACAGAGAGCGTGGCGATCAGTTCCTCGAATGCACAACAATTTATCCCTAGAGCAGTACTCGTATAATTCTTGTTCTCGAAGTTACGTGAAAGAGGGTTGTGACATCGCATTCGTGAGAAGAAAAAACGTCGATACATACTGTAATTCAATGTATAACTCGAGGTTACAGAAGACAGTTGAGGATCCCTGATTTTCTTTCATATCATGAGATTTTTTCCTAACTGTCATCATTGTGTTATTACATATCAGAGACTGAACATTTATCCCCACCAAATTTACAACTGATATGATAATCGCGTTAACAATTTGTTGTAATGGTAGGCAGTGTTCAGGTTCAGTTTGACAAAAAAATTGAACGAGTAGAGCGTGAGCCACATCACTGATAAGTTTCACTAGTAGTGTATGTGTATTGCTCTATAAACCTTGACAATTCAAACTTTTTTTACTTTTGTTTTTGTTTTTGTTTTTTTTTTTCTTTTCTTTTCTTTTCTTTTCCTGTCTTTGTTTAATGTTAAAGCAAAGCTAATAAAATTTTTTTTATAATACTGATAATTAAATGGTGTTTTCCCTTTCACTGCCTCAGTATATTAATTAAGAACTCAAGTGCATTTTTTTGTTTTATTTAGTGTAAAACATTGTATGTTAAGTGTAAATTATTGTATATAAATATATATATATATATATATATATATATATAGATATTGATTATTGATAAAAGACAAAAGGTTATAAAATATACAATAACTCAGTGGAAGAAGTTTAAAATTAATTATAAAAGCAATTAAATTTATAAACATTTGATTGATTAGCTATTTGTTATACAAACAAACGTAAGTTGGTATGGTATACTTGACGAGTGCTTGGGGTATGGGAGAAACTGATCCCAAGTGTTTAAGCACCAACTTATCCCCAATTTCATCCTCTACGTCTTCATCAGCCACTGCATTCCGTCAAGAACATGATGAGGAAGTTGCTCTGCACCCACTCAATAATCAGGTTATTATTAATTTATTTTTATTAATAACAATAACATTCTATTGTTATTAATAAAAATACTATTTATATTTGTAGTATTTACTACTCTTTAACTTAAACAAACTATTTATTAAACTAATATTGACGTCAGTAAACACGTGTCACAACAATTCACGAAAATTAAATCTAATAAATTAATAATACCAAAATTGAAATTATTACATATAAATTGTTTTGTTATTTAAACTTGATAATAATCGAGACATATGGTAAGTATAATATATTTAAGATTATTTTTTATGTTATTATATTACATGTTTGTAAACTTGACATGTCAACACGTAAATGTTAATTATCGTTATATATATATTAATATATATAACCCGCATGAGTCATTAAGTTTTATAAAAATGTTTCTTTAAGTATTAATTTTTATAGGCAATCATAAAATATAAAGTTATAATTTAAGAACAATACTTTACACATATTTTTTTAAATAATTTTTGTTTATTTATTTGTTTTATGAGTAAGGATAAAAAAAAAATCTTGATTAAAATTCCTTGATAAATTTATTTTTTCATAAGCTCAGTTATAGAATTATAAAAAATTTCTCCAATGGTTTCTGCCAGTTCTCAAGACTATTTAGGACAAACTATACACTTACACTGTGACCTACTTTTTTTTTTTATTTTTAATTTAGGATGCATTCGATTAAAGCTATTCGTTTGATGCAGCTGAAATGTCCTTCGACTATCGACTCAAAATATTTTATTTAATAATCATAAGAAGAGATATCTATATGTATATGTATATATGTATCAATGTACAATTTTTATTTGTTTTATTACAGGTTGGAGGACACACTCGTCTGTTACTCCTCAATCAAAATACAATATGCAAGCCGTTGAATAAAAGAGAGTTGGACTTTTATCGAAACATTCCTCAAGATATACAAATGTTTGTCCCTAAATTCAAAGGTAAGATCATCGAAAAACAAAAAATAATAAATATGTTAAATTATTTTTAATAAACTACATTTTAATTAAAATTTATCAGATGAATTGTGCAATTTTAAGTTAAGAAAAAAAACCTTTCACTTTCTTATACACTATATTTGTTCATTTATTTATGCATATATTTTTCTTTTAATATTTATAATCTTACTACTTTAAAAAAAAAAAAAAAATTAATAAAATCAATTGTGAATGTCTTGTTATTCCACTTGTCAATGTTGCTTAGATCTTTTAAATCATGGTTGTAGATATATTGTATGCCGACGTCATTTATATAGATCGATTATTCATTTCCCACGCAAATAATTGCGCGAATTTATTTTATCATAATTTAAAATTGATCGATAATTATCAAATTTATTATTGTTTTGTATAATAAGAAAGAAAGAAAAAAAAAAAAAAAAAAAAAAAAAAAAAACATTTTGTATACAAATATTTATGTAAGAATAAAAAATCAAAATAATATTATTAAAAGCTATTATTTTGTAAAAAGTTGCGTTAATTTATAGTAAAAATTATTAGTACATACGTATATAATTGCACGTACACAAACAATACAAAAATGCACACATTTATATATTTTTTTTATTCATTCATTTGTTTTAAAATATTTTGGCGTCACATTTCATCTATAATTTTGTTTGATGCATAAAATCGTTTCACTCGTGACTATTTATTTGTTGTCATAGCGAAATAAATTGCGTGCAATAAATATCTAATTCTGTGCTGTGACAATTAAAAGGGGCAATAAAACTTCAATTGTTCAAATAAGGTAAGTTTTAAAAAGTATTTCATTTTTCTCTTTCTTCATCTTTCTTATTCATTGTTTCAATTTTTTTTTTTTTATTTTTAACAATTCATTAAAATTATAAAAATTTAAAGCTTTTCATACTTTATATTGTTTACAATAATTATCTGAAAATAATCTCTGAGCATATATTTTTTAATCGAAAATACGTCCAAAAAATTATACCAAATAAAGGTGGGTCTTATATGTATATATTTAAAATTAATAACTATTAAATATATTTTATAAACTAAACGAACGTATATTAATCTACGGTAATAATTATTTTTCTTTTTTATAGAAAAAGTTATGACAACAATATACTAAAGTAATTGTAAGATGAATGTTATTATCCCTTCCATAATTAAACAGAATACAAAAAAAAAATTTAATTTAAACAAAAAAAATTAAATTAACTGGCTGATGTTTCAGGTGTTATTCAGGCGTCCAGTAGTTGCGGTGAAGTAGAGAAGCGTTACAGTCCAAGTTTTAGAGATGCTGAAAATTCATCACATCATCAGGCTCAAGTTGGCAAAAGTTCGACTAAACGAAAACGCGATGACGTCCTTAGGTAATAAAAATAAATAAACATCTTTTTAATATATTTTTAATAAATATTTATCAGTTCTTATCTGTTTATTAATGATCTGTGGTAAATAACATTAATATGAATGAATTAAGATATATTAAAATCGTGAAATTCCGTGAGACGGTAGAATAATATTTAAATTAAAGAAAAACCAATAACATTAACTTGCAGTAAGGGCATACAAGTTTTTATGGTACCATGTTACGGGTTGCAGTCACACAACTGCTTTGTTGAATTTGCACAACTGGTGGCATTTGTGGTTCATACGAGGGCCCTACATTCCCTTCGTGGGATGCTGAGCTTCTTATGCTACAATCTCAATTGTATGTGACGTAACAAACCACAGGCGAATCACAATAAAGTGCTGTTTTACCCTTGGTACAATACTAAAAATTTTATAACTCTGAAATAAAAATAAAAACAAAAAAAAAAAACGCGTTTTTAGCCTTTATAAGTCTTATGATTACTATTATTATCTTGTACTTATTAAATGCAAAGCTTAATTTTTATTAACTAATAAGCGAACATCTAAACGTATTTTTCTTTTATGGCAATAAGGGTCAAAAATATTATAACAAAATTGAAAAGATTTTAATTTTTATTAATTCTTTGTAAAATACTTAAATTATAAAAATGATTCAGTTATAAAAAAATGATAAATTTTACCCTCATTGTCTGTTAAAGATTAAATGTATCAGCGTAACGTCACTTAATCGTTTAGTTTATTATTATTTGAATGTCTGCGATAAATGACCAACGATTTTTTTGGCAGCTAAATTACTTCCTTAATATCTATGCCAAATTAATCATCAAAAAATTTAATATAAATTTTTATAGCTTTCATATTGTTATAATTAAAAGTAATATTTGTACCTATTACTTGTACAACAAAAAAAATTTTTTTTTCATATTAAATTAATTTTTTTATTTTTTTTTTCAATTCTGACAATAAAAAATTTTATTCCAAATATACTGATCAGAGTTATTTTAATTTATAAATAATTATTAAAATGTCTATTTATTATATTGGTATATATAGTTGTACTTTTTCTAATACATAAGTTCAAATAATGTTTTAAACTATTTTATTAACAAACATTTGAATTTTACAGAATGAAAATTCATCGTAAGAATAGTACAGTTGATGTGCTGAAACCTGAATCACACTTGGATAGTTCTTCAAATAAACAATGTATCCTTTTTAATTTAATTTTAAATATTATCAAAAAATTACCATTTGAAATAATGAAATTCAGACATGATCATAAACAATAACAAGCTTTACAATAAACTTTTTAAGCTGTCTGGTAGTGTGTTAAAATATTTTAAGCTGAATAATCAAGCCATTATTTATTCAATCTTTGCTAAAAAATATTATCATTACGATTATAATAATATATAATTTAACAATTGACAAATATTTACATAAATTTTTTTTTAGTTTATTTATAAAAGCAATTTGTATAATTTTTTTAAATACTTAAAAACAAATTGACTCTTTTTTAAATTATATAGATGCTAAGTATTGAATAATTTTTATGATTATTATTATTATTATTTTGAGTTTTACTTGTATACCGTTTTCTGGTTTTTACAAGGTTACTACTTTCCGTTCTATATTATCTCCACAATTTTTCAACTCCTTTTTATTATCAACATATTCTCCACTTTTTAGGTAGATTTCATAAAATCTATCTATTGCATTGGCCCTTGTGTCAAAATTCACACAGAATTTCGTTACTATATCAATTATTTAGTCGATCTTTATGAAATTTGGTAGACTTATTCTATATACAATTCCCTGAATAAAAAAAAGTATTGAGACAAAGAAAAAAGTATTGAAAAATATTGGATTCTTTTCAATATTTTTCTCTTTGTCTTAATACTTTTTTTTTTTAATCAGGGTTAGCTTGGATGAGTTCAAAAATGAGCTAAATCCCTCAAATAATTTAGAAATGGCAGCCAGAAATTTTCGAAAATCTAATAAATCACATGTTTGGTGACTTTACTAGGGAATAACTTTTTATTGAGAAATGATAGATCGTTTTTCTGCATTTCGTTTTAAACCTTATGAAATTCTCTTTAATTTAATCTATAACAAATTTACTTTTCATCAATTACTCCAAAAGTTTAAGAAGCTGAATGTCATCTGAATCAGTTTCAGACAAGCACACAACGCAACGCGACTTGTGGACACGATTACTCCCACAATTCTTAATGAATCTTTATGAAATTTGGTAGACTTATTCTATATACAATTCCCTGAATAAAAAAAAGTATTGAGACAAAGAAAAAAGTATTGAAAAATATTGGATTCTTTTCAATATTTTTCTCTTTGTCTTAATACTTTTTTTTTTTAATCAGGGTTAGCTTGGATGAGTTCAAAAATGAGCTAAATCCCTCAAATAATTTAGAAATGGCAGCCAGAAATTTTCGAAAATCTAATAAATCACATGTTTGGTGACTTTACTAGGGAATAACTTTTTATTGAGAAATGATAGATCGTTTTTCTGCATTTCGTTTTAAACCTTATGAAATTCTCTTTAATTTAATCTATAACAAATTTACTTTTCATCAATTACTCTAAAAGTTTAAGAAGCTGAATGTCATTTGAATCAGTTTCAGACAAGCACACAACGCAACGCGACTTGTGGACACGATTACTCCCAGAACATTCTTAATGAATCTTTATGAAATTTGGTAGACTTATTTTATATACAATTAGCTTGGACGAGTTCAAAAATGAGCTAAATCCCTCAAATAGTTTAGAAATGGCAGCCATTTGAAATTTTCGAACATCTAATAAATCACTGTATTTTAAAATTTGGCAGCCGATTTACTTTTCTGATAAACTTGAGGAATAATAATTATTCATAATATCGAAATTAAAATCATGGATTACATGAAATCTACCTTCCATCTTGGCTAGTGCCAAATGGCCTTTTTTTTTTTTTATTATCAACATGTTCTCCGCTTTTTTTTTTTTTTTATAATCAACATATAATTTCATTCCAATGCGGCTGTGGACCGACTTGTGCTTTTTGTACGGTATTCACCCCTTTCTATCGGTTGTTGGAATAGTGGCGATGAGGAAACCCATACAGAGAGAAAAAACCCATGCCAGTACAGTCGGCTACTACCGGAGCGATCTCCGACGGTTGGTATTGGAACTATTCGAATAACCGTCGAGGATCGAACCCTCGCCTCACGACAAGATGCACGAAAACAAACTAACGGGGGATAATGACTTAGTCCGCTCGGCCATTATGCCGCAAATAATTTTTATGATAAATTTTTAATTAAATTTATTTCCTTAACATAATAAATATAGATTTTTTATTATTAGAAAATATAACATGTTGTTACACTCATCCTTGTATATTGGATTTAAAAATGGGAACAAGACAACACGGAGATGATGCTTCGGCAGAAAAACGTAGTAAACAAATAGCTAAATGTGCCGCAAGTACATCTGCGTCTTTGGGAGTGAGATTGTGTGGTATGCAGGTGAGTTTAATTTTTTACGAAAATTTGGTGTAAAGAAAAAATACAATTGTTTAAAGAAATCAGTGTTTACATATTTTGTCAATAAGAAAATAAAAAATATGTGTTGTTTTGAATTAGGTTTATCAAGCAGATATTGATCAGTACGTGAAAAGAGATAAATACTGGGGCCGTGAGCTGAACGAGGAGGGTTTCAAAGCTGCACTGTATCGCTTCTTCCACAATGGTTACTGCCTTAGAACTCACGTGATTCAACGGGTAATTACTCGATTGGAAAGTCTTCGTCGAGCTATTGAGAGACAGAGCAGCTATCGTTTTTATTCTTGGTAAGTTTTCATCTTTATTACATTTTCATGCATAAAAGAAAACTTTGTTTTTTGTTTTCTCTTGATAAAAAAAAAAATTATCAAAAAACAAAAAAAAAATATCACAAAAAATCGTAACAACACACAAATGAGTAGAATTGCATCATACGATTCCACCAGTGCAATAGGGAATATCGTGTAATATTCAACAGCCTCCGGACTGCTGAAGGGCGCGAGAAAGGGCCAAACATCATCTCTCTTATTCTCACGGTCAAGTCTCTTTAAGCATTAAAGATTAACAACGACAACTAATTAAATAAAACACCCATAAACTTATTTTATTTATTATCTATTACAGCTCCTTGCTAGTTGTTTACGAGGGATTTCAAATAGAAGATTACTCAAGTCGTTCAAGAAGTCCATTAACAACACTCGGCGTTGAAGAAGAATCCAATGAATCATCAAGTTTTGTTGAAAATCTTACCCATGATTCGGATAGCTTCCTAGATGGTAGCCACAGCAATGCGTCAACGGATTTTAATCTTGGTCATGAAGAAGTTAATCAAACAATCTTACATCGTGCTTTTGGTGAAGCAGCAGCGCGTGGAGCCAAACATGCTACGGGTTTTTATCCAATAAATGAGGAAACTGTTTTTATGGACCCGCCATCTAATTTAATTAATGCAACGGTGGTACCAAGTCAAGACTATGACAGTTGGACGTTTACAGACACTCAAAGTAATCTAAGCAGTCACAATATTAGTACTTCAAGCAGTAACAGTAGTAGTAGTGATAGTGATAATGAATATTGTTGTGTTGGTAAACACACGATAACAAATTCAGATGATATCAGCTCAGACTTAGATCTAGGTCGTAAATGCTCATTGAAAAGAACACGACCAGGCCATAGATTGGATATTTATGAAGGTCAAAATCATCAAGATGAAGAGGAAGAGCTTAAAAGCGCGACAAAGAGACTTAGAGTTAAACATGATAATAAAAACCCCCCTGAAAATGCAATGGTCGATGTTAGAATGATTGATTTCGCGCATACAACATTTGAACATAAAATAGCCTCAAGTTCAGTAGCATGCCATTCTAATTCAACAGTACATCAAGGACCTGATTGCGGGTTTTTAACGGGTCTTGATAGTCTTAGAAGATTGTTAATGGAGATACTTGCTGAAGGTTAACAATAACGTTTCTTCAATTAATATTTTTAGTTTCATGTACCATGAAAGTACATGAACTTTTTTTTCATTTCAAACGAGAAATAATAAAAAATAGATAAATTATTAAAAAAGAAAAAATTAACGTTCACGTCGGTGTTATACTGCGTTGAGTCATCTGATTGTTGGCTTGGTGCCACGTACCGATGAAGCTCCCGTCAGTCGGGTATTAAAAGATTATTAGGTGAATCATTAAAACCGATCTGACAATTGCAATGGATGTCTGTAATAAAGTCGATTATTCTGGAATTTTCTTTGTCGTGTGAGACACATGTAGTATTTCATGAAAAAATAACGCTATTGAATACTTTTTTTTTTTTTTTTTTTTTTTTTTTTTTTTCCCGTTATCATAAAATGAATATTTTTTAATTTTTAAACTGCAGAAAAATGTAAAAAATTAATCTTATCGTACTCAGAAAAAAATTACATAAAATGAAATTATTGATAGAGAGCGTATATAATTAACGTAAATATTTCATAAGTCTACCAAGTAGATGTTCGATTGTTTAAAATATATTAAATAGGCATTTTGGCTGTATAACTATCAAGATGTATATATTGTAAAAAAAAAAAAAAAAGAAGAGTACTGAAAAACAGAACAGAACGAATGAATAAAATGAACAATAAAAATTATGATACGAATGGCAATAATATTTTTCTCTTAGATCGATTAATATTATTGAAAATTTATTAAATTAAGTGATACTTGAATAATTATGATTTTTATTTTAGCGAATGTGTTGTATTAAAAGAAAAAAATATTTATTATGTACGGAAAATTGAAATTGAAAAGTTAATAAATAATGACATGTAAAAAAATGAAAAGCTTTCAAACGATTTGTCTTTTGAGTTGAAAAATGATATTAATTTTCTAATGTTTGGCCGAAGCTTTATTCATGAAAGGTCACCACACTAAACAAATAATAATATTTAAAAATATTTAATAATAATAATCTAATGGTGTTCTATATTATAAAAAATAAATGACAGTTTAGTTTCTACAACTATTTCTCATGGAAAAAAATTGTTTTAAATATTTTTTAACAGAGATGTCATAACTGAAAACAACTGATTTAAAATGTTAATAGTGATAAATAAAATATCTATAAATTAATTTCTGAACATTTAAGTACGTATTGATCTTCCAGTTCAAACTTTTTATAATTAACTTGATAGATCTTCGATGATAATAGGGTAAAATTATCGAATTTGGACATGTAAAATTATGATAAAGTAAATTGTATACAGTACGAAAAAAAATTTTGCTATTATTGCTATCGCATTTAAAATATTTCAATTAAACATTTCGTATACCTACTTCTCGTATATTAAAATTGAGCATAAAATATTCACAAACGATATGATGTTCAAAATCAATACTTCTACTCGCAGCATTTTTTTCCATGAGTCAATATTAAATCTTAGTACAAATATAATATATATGTATATTTATTATATTTATGTATTATATCAATGATCGAACTGTTAAATAAGATGTAATTTTTTTAATTTGAATGACAAAAACTAAAAAATCAGAGTATTATTTTGATATTCGATTTTTTTCAGAATAAATAAAATATTTAAATGTATACATGTTATTAAAAGTATTAATAATAAATAAAGCGTGCGTCCAAATGAAAATATTCCATTAGACATCATAATTTTATGTCAACAATTAAAATTTATCCGTAGAATAAAAAAAAATTCCATAAATTAATATTTTTAATTATTTTAAAACTGATCCTTTAACTATTGACGTCGGGATTAGTATAAATAAATTGTTTTATTTTGCTTTGTACATTTCAAAATTTTTATTTTTATTTTTAATAACAAATTTGTATAATTTTTTTTTTTTTTTTTTTTTTTCTTTTTTTTAGTACAAAAACTAGATTGACAAACTTATTAAATTGTATCAAAGGAATAAATATTGATTACATACACAAGTTGTAAAATTAATTAATTTGTAGGTATGTATAATTTAATGTAATTACATAAAAATTAATCTTATTTTTAAAATCGTTTTTAATATATTTTAATAAATTAATATTTATTTACTAAAGGTCGTTGGTTTAGTCTCAGTTGTTACTTTCATTTGTAGTACAGTTAGTGTACTCATATGTTAATCATGGAAAAAGAAAAAATATTAAATATAATAAATAAAAAAAAAAAAAAATTAATAATTAAATAATGATTAATAGTTAATCTGCAATTTAATGCAAATAATATATGTTTATCAATAATGTCAATTGTATTTTTAAAAGTCCGTGCTCAATGTCAAAAGTATCATTGAATCTCTGTGGGCATGTAGTAAACAGTTCTCCATCTTATTTTTATAACGTCTAAATGATAATTTTAGTACTCATTAACTAGTCATTTAGTGTTGAGATAAAATGAATCAAAATTTGTCACATATATAATATATTAATATTAATCAATAAATATTAATAATTCTGTTCACTGTTCATTTTCACCGGCTATCTGATAATGATGACGACGTAGCGCAGCCAGTCTTAATCTTTCAGTCTCCAATGCTTGTTCCAACTCAAGAACGCGTACCTGCGCTTCCATTTCGAGTCTTTTGGTTTGATGGAGACTTAATCCACACATATCCAAATCATCTATTAAAATTAAAAAAATTACAACAATGAAAAAAATTTTTACAAGGCAAATGCATTGAAATTGTACTAAAATAGATATTACTGATTCAATATTTACCATTTTCTTCAATAAGTTGTCCACAACTTTTGGCAGTAGCAACAACACTACCCGTAGCTTGGGTAACTTCTCTTGAAGCTTCTGAAAGTCCAGCTAGGTTCCTGCTGTTTTTGTCAGCCTTCACTCTGCTTGCTACAACTAATTGAGCTGTTGATGCAGCGATACCTTGTGACGCAACGACAAGCTGTTCAAATTTACCATTACCCAATACCACTTTATCAGCAGCTTCTAACAGAAAATTAGCTCCCATCGCAATAGCTTTCGCAGCAGATATTAAACCTTCAGACCATTGATGATTTCTTTTATAAAATTCTTTAGCCGAAGCTGTACCTTTACCCTGGGCAACTATTTCTGTTTGTAACAGACGAGATTTTTTGACTAAAACTCTAATACGCTTCATTAACTCTGTACATGAATCCAAAATTTTTCCATTCACTTCAAGTTTTAATCCCGAATCATCAGCACGTGATTTATTAAGCATCTCTTGCATTTTATTAGCTGCTTCTTCAATAGCTTTATCCATACCGTGAAGTTCATTCTCCACTAAATCACCAAGTAGATCAACATTACCTCTCGCTTTCGATAAAGTATTAGCTACAGTTGAAATGACATTCAATTGTGTTTTAACATGATTTATCATATCTACAGAATTGGTTGATTTTTCTTTTATGCTGGTAAGCATTGTCAGCGATTGAGTAGCAAGTAATTTACATTCTTCAGTTAATTTATCATCAAGTGATATGTCTGTTGATGTATTTGAAGTTGATTTTGCGTGAATTATATATATAGCTAAATTATATGCAACATTTGATACAGTACGAATTAGTGATTTTCCATCTTTAAAATCAGTTTCTAAACTTTTATATGAAGTTTCTAGATCATTTAATAATTTTAATGCAGGATTTAATAAGCCTTCAAGATAATCTGGGGTACAGGTTAAAGCCGATATAGCCGGATTATCAATAGCACTTGATGCATTTTGTATCATAGCTTCCGCACAAGAGATGCTATTTAAAATCAACTCACACTGAGTAGTTTCAAGATCTTTTTTTCCTTGCGCACGAGTTCTTTCAATTTCAGTTTCCAATTGATTTATTCGTAAATCCAATTCTTCTTTTTGAGCCAACAAATCATGAAGATCACCCTCAGAGACTGCTTTTTCTGATGATATAAAATCAATTTTTGCTATAAGAGCTAAATTTTCAGTTTTAGCTTCATCGAATTGTTTTCTGACTTGATCCAATTCAGAGCGAGCTTTAGCAACTCTTTCAGCTTCTTGATCAGCTGTTGCTTGTCCTTGGTTAAGCTCTTGAAGACATTTTTCAGCTTCTTGAGTACGTCTTTCTGCTTGTTCTAATGATATTTTAATTCCTCCTAGTTGTTTATCAACTTCGGCTTTCTAATAATTATAAAAAAAAAAAAAAAAACCTATATATATATATATATATATTATTTTATTTTTATTTGTTATTTTATCACAGTAAGTTCAATTGT